TCTGATTGGCCACCCCGTGCCCCCCAATGGTCATTGACTCCTCGTAATGGCCCCCTGTATACATAATGTGGGCGCCCCCCAGATTTATTGTTGTTACCCCTGTGCCCCCCACCAGAAAGTTTTCTGGACCCGCCCCTGAGATATAACCCAATCATAAGGGAAGAAAAGTTAAGGAAGAAAACTCCACTCATTATTGCCATTGATCATTTCATTGCATAGCCTATAAATGTATATATGGCAAAAGACACTCTGAATCAGTCTGTGAACTGCAGCAGAGGACTGTTTAGAACACCTACATGCACCCATCATGACAATACTGGTACCAATGGATTTATCTTACCCTGATAATAGGTGCAGGCATGAAGTTTATCAGGAAAATTTCAGGGTAAAACATGAAGACAAATAAGTTTTATCGATACCATGGTAGAGATTGAAGAGACTAACGTGCGTAGATAGAGCAAAATGGACTCTGCCATCTTATAGAGTGGGATAGAACAAATGTTAAGATGCAGAAGCCTTATATTTACCGTTAAATGGAAACAGACCTCCTGGTATTCAAGGCAAGATAGAGCCTGTGTATTTATTCTGTATAAATCTTCAGACTTTGTCTCCCTGCAGTTGATCCTACATTTCTTTCTGCCATAAATACTCAGAGGATTCTCTCAATTTCAGGATAAGGGTGGGAGAGGTAGTTGTCCCGCAAAGGGTTTACCCAGGCAAAGCACCCTGCATAGATGATTTAATAACGTATTTCTTATTTATCTTTCATATTTATCCCCCAATTACCATGATAACCTTCACACCCTACCCTACTATTAGCTTGTAGGGTACCAGTCAGAAGTTTCCATGGTACAAATCTTACATGCGTGTGTAGTAAAGGATGAGCGGAACCCTTTGTACCAGTATCATTGTGATCAGGTGCACATAGATCTTCTGAACATTTACAAAGAATTAGATATTCCAAGTTGTGTATTTCAGTATTGTCTATATGAAAGGTGTATAATTCTTTCATTTAATGATCCAAAACCATGAAACCACTGGAATCACTGGATTCATAATATATGGTGTTCCCTATAAGGTCAATAAGATTTCTGTTATAATTTTCTCTCTTTTTATACTTTTTCTATGTTTTCCTCAAGATTTGCTTCTGCAGCAAATGGAACATGTATTCTTTAGTGGCCACAGAATACTCTCATAAATTTTCTGTGAATGATCCAAGATATCTACAAGTAAATGTGTCAGTTTCTGTGTTTGTTGTTATATGCACGTACAGTCTAAATAACCTTTGCTTTTAATTTTTATTTCAGTAGAGTAAGTGGAATTAGATAACATTAATCTATTTGTCTTTTCTGAAAGATAGATTTATCTATATCAAGAAATATTAATGATTTCAGGTATAGGTATCAGTTTACTTGTAATATGAATTGTAAGTAAATGTAAAAGGTAGGGAATGAACAATACAATGCAAATGAGATTCTGGGAATTAAATAGAAGGGAGTCAAAGGAAGATACTTGACTAGGCATTGGAGAAAACTGAATGAGTTTATTATAAGACTTTTCAAAAAAGGATTATGTTGTAATGAGTGTTAGGTCTTTCTCTTTCCTTTATGCCAAATCTGTAAATATAAACTCCAGTTCATATTTGTATTTCTGTTTCACTATATTTTTTTTTTCTTTTTTCTTACAGCTGGTCTTCTTTATTGGAGGATGGGTATGGTTTGTAAAAAAGATATTCCGTGACTATGAAGTCCATAACACAATGGTTCAGCTATTTTTCCCAATGATTTTTATGCTGTCATGCACGATGTTTGAACTTATTATCTTTGAAATTGCAGCTGTTCTTGAGTCAGGGTGAGTGAGAATTTATCATTTGTTTATATGTGTAAATACATATTTTTTTCTTGTATTTTTACCCATTATGAGATATTTCTGTTTTAATCGTATATGTTCATAAACCATATCCTTGCTAAAAGTGGTGTTCTTTAATTTATCCAATAATTGTATTCTCCAGTTATGTGTGTCTGTTTGTTTACCAGCCACTTGTGTATGCATACCTTCACTCATGCATTTACCAAAGCAAATATGATTTGTAAATAAGTGAAAGTTTATGAAATTAGATTGCTGTGTTTTTAATCTAATGGTTATTTTAAAATCTTCACTTGGTCATTGTTAAAAAAAATATAGTAGTACCGATTTCACTCGGAGTTAAACCTCCACTTCTTATACATATTATTTTATAGATAATAATGGTTATTTATCTTGCAGATCTAGATACCTTTACTGGCAAGTGGTCTTGTACTCCATGCTGATCATGCTCATCCTTGTCATACCATTCTACTTATGTCACTTTGCTGTTTCAAATATCAGAATGGGTAAGTTATGCTGGCTTCTTTTAAATTGTCTATTTTTTATTAACTTACCAGAAAAGTCATCAGTTTAGTAAAGAACTGGATTGAGATTGTAAAGTGAATCGTATTGTTGTCCTGCCAGTAGATCTTGCAGTTCTTCTGTTGTTGTGGATTAGTAGTATAGTGTAGTAGCTATAGATATATTATAGCGGTTATAGGGTGTAGTATATACGGTAGTAGGTAGGGTATATTATAGATATATAGTAGTTGATGTAGGTAGTATTAGTATTAGTAGATATAGAGTGTGGGGATTGTAGTAGTTATGATTATTAGTATATATTTATATATATGGGTATATAGGTATGATGGGTAGTATAGGTAGTTATTTAGGGTAGTAGGTAGTGAGATATGTATATTATATTATGTAGGGTTATATATATGTAGATGATAGTGTGTGATTATGATGTCATATTGATGTATTATAATAGTAGTCAGTAGTAGTAAGTGAGTGATATACTATCGTATATATATATGGATTGAGTGTGGGTATAGTTATAGTTATACAGGTTAAGTTGGTAGAGAAGTATAGAATAATATAGTATTGATAGTACTATAGGGGTAGGTGATAGGTGGTATATATAGGGTAGGTAGTAGATAGTAGGTGGGAGTATATTATATTGGTAGTAGGTAGATACTATATCAGGCGTATCTATATGGGTATAGGGTGTAGATTGATATGGAGTCTGTAGTATATAGTATTATATATAGTATAGGTAGCGTGAATATAGTAGGGCTTATAGGGGGGTAGTAGTATACTACACAGTCAGTGGGTGTGGATAGGTAGGGTAAGATAGTATATATAGATATATATATACACCACAGTACATAATTTATTACCACATAGTAATAGTATATACACAGCAGGGTAGTTAGGGATATAATACACAATGTATACTGATTACATAGTAGGGGGCGGTGGTAGGTGTTATGATGCAGGATATAGTACAGTATATATTGGTGTATATATTAGGTACTATAGTGATATATGATTAATAGGGTAGTACTAGAGATATTTATAGTGTGAGGGTATAGTGGTAGGAAGTATATAATATAAGAGTGGGGGGGTGTTAGTATTAGTAAAATAGTAGTATTATAGTATAGAAGGAGTATAGTATATAGTTAGTGTAATATAGTATATATATATAGAATATATTATAGTGGGGGGATATTAGTTAATAATAGTGGTGATATAGTTAGGGGGTGGGATAGGTGAGGCTATAGTAGTATAAATGTATATAGATATATAGAAAGGATATAGTATATTGAGAGGTGGGGGGTATAGGATAGTATATAAGGTGTTGTGATGATACATTAATAGGTATATTATTTTTTTAGTGTATGTATGTTGGATGTAGTGTAGTTATGTATTGTAGTGTTAGTTTGTATTAATGTATGTATGTTATGGAATGTCGATGTAGTGATATGTATGTTAATGTATTGTATGCTCTGTATGTATGTATGGTAGGTGATATGTAGCTTCGTAGTAGGGGTATGTATGAATAGTCAGGGTATGACGTGGTGAGGAGTGAGTATAGTGTCATTTAGGGTAGGGGGGGGTATGAGGGTATAATATGTAGTTAGGGTATATGGTAGTGTACAGCTGATGATATAATAGTAGGATGGAGATGAGGGTTGTATGTAGTGAGGTAGATGAGGTAGTAGTATATAGTATAAGTAGTGAGTAGAGTGGTGTGTGTGTGTGTGTGTGTGATAGTGAGTGTGATGGTTGTGTGTACGTAGTATATATATAGTATTATAGTATTAATTATAATATTATATATATAGTATATATATACACATACTAGCATAGGCATACGATATTGAGGGTATAAGTAGTATAATATATATACTATTATATATATATAGTAGTATATATATAGCTTAGACACATACATGTGAAATACAACAACATACATTCATATACATAGCATACAGGTACATACTACATACATACTATCATACATACATACATACATACTACATACATAATGAAACAGTACAAATATAATAGTAGGAATATATATAGATATTATATAATATATATTAATGTATGTATGTGAGTGAGTGGGTGTTAGATGTATGTATGATATGTTATGTGGATGATGATGTCATGTATGATATGGATGTAGGTGTTATTTATATTAGTATAGTAGTTATAGTATATTATAGTGAAGTATATTTTGGAACGACATACACATAATAACATATAATTTAATAAATATTTAGTAGTATAATATATTAGTAGATATATTATATTATATTGTATTTTATGTATGTATGTATGTGTATTTATATATCATGAATACTATAGATATCATTAGTAGTATATATAATATATGTATGGTTGGATATAATGTATGGTAGTGTACTGTATGGTGTTAGTAATATATGAGTGCTATATATATACTTATAATATATATAGGGGTATTGAGTATACTATATATATAGGTATATAGTGTTAAGTAGTATATAGTATATACATATAATAGAAGAGAAAGGAATAGAATAGGATTGATAATAAATATATGAGTAGTATACTGAGTATATAGGTATAATAATATATATATATAATATAGTATAGTATAGTACTAGTATGTATATAATAAGTGAATATATATATGGTATATGATATATTATGATATATTATATGTTATAGTATTAATATGTATATTATGCTATGTATATATACTATATGTAGGTTATATGTTATATATATGTATTATAAGTGTGGTATATATATATTAGTAGTAAGAGTAGTATATAGTATTATTAGTATATAATTATTGTGTGTATATGATATATATATATTATATAGTTAATATATATAGTTATATGATGATGATATATTATTATATGAATATTATTTATATTTTATATATATATATATATATATATATATATATAATATATATATATAATATATCTGGAAGATATAACAATGTATTTATAGCACATTCTGTTTCCAGTTCGTCGAGAGTGGGTAGGTGTGCTGTCAGTGTTCACGTGGGGAGTGTTTATGGTCTGCTTTTGGAAGATTGGTGACCCGTTCCCCATCCTTAGCACGCAACATGGTATTCTCTCCATAGAACAGGTAAATACGTTGTTTTGTTGGAGAATAGTTATTTTATTATTGCTGTACAGAATATTATTTTTTTGGTCCATGTAACTGGTATTGTTTGAATTTAGTTACAGGTGTTTCGTGTAGATAATCATTTTATTCTTTCCAGAGCATCAGTAGGATTGGAGTTATTGGAGTGACAGTAATGGCTGCCTTATCAGGATTTGGCGCTGTCAACTATCCTTATACTTCCATGAACATCTTCATGCGCCCGGTTACCAAGTATGATATACAGGCACAGGAAAGGCGCTTATTGCAGACCATCGACGTTATTGTTAGCAAGAAAAAGAGAATAGCGCTAGCAGAAAGAGAAAGACAGACATCAAAGGTATATAGTAATTTATTTAGAAATAGGAAGAGTTCTCAAGAATAGATTTTAGTAAGCAAAGTTCTATTTTTGTGCTAGACATGATCAGGGTTATAAAGAAAAAGAATCAGAAACAAATGCTTTCCATTGTATTTTATATCCCAGATACTTATTTTATTGTACCTTTTTTAACCCATTGGATCTGGGTACCTCACTGCCTGCTTGAGACACCTGAGCTTAAGACTAATTTGAAAGGACACTCCTGGATGTGTGGCTTGTAGGCTAAGCTCTCTGTTGATAGTTTATTACTAATAGCAATAACAATTCATATTTTTATAATATTAAATTTCCTGTAATACAACTTGCATTGTCATTAACAACAGACTGAAATAGAATCCTGAGCATGAAAATAGTGTCCTCCCTGGAGCTGGCACTCTTCCAGTCGTGGTTCATGGATGGTACATTGCACACTCATTTACTGATAGAAATAGTGTGAGGCCTTTCTTAAATGCTCACCAAGTCTAATCACCCCCTATGAGTTTTGTAGTGGGTCATCCCTGTCACCTTGGCCTTCAGACAAACTTTTCTTGACTGTATTTTTCCGTCACTCCAACCCTCAGTCAGATTTTTCATTATGGCATATTTATATCACCTGGTCCTCAGCCAAATTTCCCTCAGGACATGATGGTAACATTAGCTAGATTCAAGCAGTTAATGAAAGTTGAATGTAATTTATACAGTATTTTACTGAATATGATGCTTGTAATATTTCATTTTCTTATATATATATATATACTTGCAGGTGGAAGTTGATAGCGGGGCACGTTCAAGGATTTGGGGCTTGTTGCGCAGTGTCACCACCAGTAGTCCAGAAGGGGAGAGCATTGCAGCACTGAAACAGGAGGTTGCAGCCTTGGAGGTCAGTGGTGTGGGTGTGTGTGTGTGTGGTTGTGGGTGTGTGGCTATGTGTGGGCATGTGTGCATGGGGGTGGGGGTGGGGGTTAAAGCCTACTTCCTCATCATAAAATAGGGTCCATCACAGTAGTTTAAAACTCCTAAAATATTTTCATATAAGATAAATCCTCTTTACAAGATAATAACAGTTGACCAAGGATAAAATTTGTAAATTGTATTGGGTTATGGAATTAGAAATGTCTTTGTAGTTAGTATATATATTTTATTTATAATAGAAGAATAGTACCGATTGTCTTCGTCTCTGGTGTAATCAGGATTGATTTTTTAACTCCTCAGAAATATTTTCGTAAAATGGCACGAACATCATGCATAATAACTCAGTGCAAGTAATTCTATTTAACCTTCCTACAGGAACTGTCTCGACAACTTTTTCTGGAGACTGTTGAACTACAGGGCCAACGGGAGAGATTAGAGTGGGCCAGCACATTCCAGGGACGCTTTTTCAACTTTATGGGTTATTTTTTCTCGTTGTATTGTTCGTGGAAAATTTTTATTGTAAGTTAAGTTTATGATTCTTGTATTTTTGTACTGTATATATTTCAAGCCTAAATTCATTATGGATTACAGCTGCCAGGAAAGTTATCATAAAAATGAAAGTAGAATTGACAGTCAAGAAGAAAATTCAATTTGATTGCCAAAATTTAAAAGTACACCATAATCTGCAAGGCAAATAAGTTCAGATTATTTGCACATTCCTTATACACTTTGCTGATATACAGTCATTCTTCTTTACAGTCTCTTGTAAATATAGTGTTCGATCGTGTTGGGAGAAAAGATCCTGTGACCAAAGGCATGGAGATTGCCGTGCACTGGTTAGGGTTTGATATTGATGTGCAGTTTTGGTCGCAGCACATTTCCTTTTTCCTCGTTGGGTGCATCATCGTTACTTCCATTCGAGGATTTATTCTAACTCTTACTAGGGTAAATATGAGGCTCCAGATTCTTTTCTTTTAACTTGTATTTACATATATCAATATGTTTGGGGTCATGATCAGAGTCAAGGGACAGTTGATAAAACAGGGATATTAAAGGCAACAAATTTTTACTCCATGGGAATTTTAGTCATGCTGTTATTATTTCCCAATCAAAGTGTTCCTGTGTTTTTCAAGTAATTTGTCTATTTTTCATAAAACAGATTCTGGACTTCATCAGTATGTATCTCTGGAGTATAAATTTGATGTTTGAAAATTGAGGCAATTTATAAAGTTCAGACTGCTTTAGATTACCTCAAATCAAATATTGTTATTGCTTTAAAATCACTCAGCAGTGTAACATACTGTTTGTGCTTTCTCCCATTAGGACTTTCAACAGTCAAGATAGCAGATACATGCTTCATATACAAGTTTATAAGAGCATGCATTCATGTTCAGGGTTATATATGAATTGATGAGTATCAAATTTCCCATGGGTGTGGTACTAATACTGGATTTCTCCTTTCAGTTCTTCTATGCTGTTTCTAGCAGTAAATCTTCAAACATTATTGTGCTTGTGTTAGCTCAGCTTATGGTGAGTTATAATGAACCATATATTTTGTTTATAGAATTTTTAAATAAATGTGTAAATCTGTGGATGGATAAGTCTAGGTGTGAACTTTTTTTTTTCTATTTCGTATCCTGACTTATTTCAGTAGTTTAGTTTTAAAATCTTAAAACCATTATGAAAATTTGTCATATCAGTCAACCGTTAGAGAAAGTAAGGTTTCTCCTGCTTTGTGATGCATTAAAAATATAATAAGTATTGTAACATTAATAGCAATACTAATGATAATAATATTTGAAATTAAAGTAAATAAGCAAAAATTACATACATTTAACTAAAGTCAGTGGAGGAAAATAATGCAAAGAGTAGGTTATATATTTGCCATATAAAGAAATAGAAGAAAGAACTGATGATTCAAAATGGTTAATGGTTAATGGTTAAGATAAATGTGCTAGACATCTAAGGTCAAGCACTATAGGAAAGTAATAGTAAAGAGGGATGTATGGTGACAGTTGTAATGTGTCAACTATCTAGAATATTGTTGGAGAGGTGAGGATGAGGGAAAAGATTATGGTGGTTAGGTAAGGGAGTTAGATCAAGTGAAGGATATTTATGTGTCTGAGGAAGGAGAACAGGTTGTCGAGGCAGAAACTGTGAGATTCTGTAAGGATGTCTGATATGTTGGGAGGTCGGTGAAGGAGGATAGGTGTGGAAAGCAGGTACGTGCTGTATTAAAACGTGGACAGGACAAAGAGAATGTGTGGGACTGAAATAGGGATGTTACATAGAGACATAGGGGCGGGTCTGAGCGTGACATCAGATAGGCATGTGTTAGGCAAGTGTGGCCAATACGTAATCGTGCGAGGGCAGTCTCCCAACGTCTGTTCTTGTGAAATGGAGCTGACCAAGAGGAGATTGATGGTTTTACGGTATGTAATTTATTGTTGTGGAGTCTTGACCAAAAAGATTGCCATCGGGTATATCAGAAACTTAAAGTGGGGTAGTAATCTGTAGCTGGAATATGTGAGAAGCGTTGGTTGAGGTGATGAGGACATTGCGGCATATCGTGCAAGAGTATCTGCCTGTTCATTGCCAGGAGATTCCAAACATGCTGGGTACCCAGCAAAAATCTGACAGATTTGTGACGTGTGGATAGATACAACCAGTTCTGGATCTTACAGACAAGGGGATTGTCGAGTGATTGACTTTATGAGGGTTAAGATTACGGGAGTCAGTAAAAATATAAAGCGGAAGAGGTGGCATGAATATATGCGTCTTAAGGCCAAAAAGGAGTGCATATAGTTCTGGTAGTAAGGACACTAGATTCAGGAGGGAGGGTGATTGAAAGTGCAATTTGACTGGAGAATCGTTTAGCGATCCAGCTCTGAGATGGATTTGGAACGTCAGTGTAAACATGAATGCTGGGGAATGAATGGAGAACAATGGTCAGGAAATGAGCGAGTAGGATAAGGGGGGAAATATCTGATTTTGGTGGGTCAGGGAACTGAGGAGCAAATACAGGGGTTAGGTATAGCCATGGAGGAATGGAATGGACAGACAGTGGAGAGGCGGAGATGAGGGAAGGGGGAATGGGAGAGGAGGGGTATCCATGCTACGGGGGAGAGGAGTTGGTAAACTTTGGAGAAGAGGTAAAGGTATGAGTAAGGATTGTGGAATAGTTAGTTTTGGTAAAGGAAAATTGGTGAATCGAGC